TTTTTTATGTAAAAAATGATGCAAATATGATGTACATGTATTAAAATCAGTGTAATGTAATGTTGATGTCTATTTCAAGTTTAAATATGTGCAAGTATAAATGTTGTTATCACATAATGCTGCTAAAGTCACTAACGCAGCGTGGGAATATTGCTACTATAACCAGTGAAAACATAAAAGCTCACTCAAGAATAGATTTTTCCTTAGTATTTCAAATTTTAAAGTGTAAAATGTTGTCATAACATAAAACTCACTTTTAAAATGTTTCAAGATCGCTTATGAAAATACAAACATCACTGAAGATGTTACTAACTTCAATGAAGTCCCTAATTTCATAACATAAAACTTCATTGAAGAAGTCAGCTGTAATATTTTCAACTCCTATTATTGATGACACTATCTTCAACAACTCTTCATGATTTATCCCTTATCTAATTAATTTAAAAATTAATCTCTTACCTTCACGGGTCATCTTTCTTTGTGAATCTTTTACAAAATGCCCTTTATCGTGAAAATAATAAAATACTTCTTTTGTTGAAATACTTGCCATGTGAGAAATAAACTTGCAGCATTTAAAAGCAACACACAAATAAACTTTATTGAAGAAGTCGGCTGCAATATTTTTAACTCTTATCATTGATGACACCATCTTCAACAACTCTTCATGATTTATGCCTTATCTAATCAATTTAGAAATTAGTCTCTCACCTTCACAGGTCATCTCTCCTTGTGATCTTTTACAAAATGCCCTTTAACGTGAAAATAACAAAATACTTTTTTTGTTGAAATACTTGCCATGTGAAAAATAAACTTGCAATAACTAAAGGCAATATACAAATTTATTATTTCACAACTATACTTACCATAATCTCAACTATGATTACAAGAATTCAGCATTTATGTTACATTTTTCAACATTAATGCTAATTTTATTAGAGAACAGAAAAATTTAATATCCATGCTACATCTTACTTGTTTTTAACTCAATTTTTTTAATACTATCGTTTCTCAGAATTCATTTATTGTGTATGTCTATATGTATAATCTATTAATAATCAAGAAGATTATTTTTTTTCTTAACTATAAAAGAGAAACGGTATAAACTAGCACTTGCAAGGATGTAAAATTTTTTTCTTGTATGCATGACAGAGGAAATGTAAAAGATAAAAAAGAAAAAATTGCAAATTTTTCTTGCATGTATGACAGGGGAGAAGATGTAAAAGAGACAATGCACGACCCCTGACTAAAAGAGGAGAAGATGATAACTCATATGATGATCCACTTTACTAATTTTCCATCCATATTTTTTGCCAGTGAGAGCAAATTTTTCACAACCAAAAATAAGAACAGATAACACAACATAAATTGCTTTGCTGTTACCTTTTAGTGTTTAGCGAATGGGCAATTTTATAAAGTTAAATATATTTTTTATCTCAACTAAGGATCATTTAATTGGAATTTTCAAATGTTATATGATCTTTATTTGAGATTAATGTCCTCAAGGGGTCTTTAATTGTTATTTTTCCTAAAAACAAGCAGGCACCCAAAACATGGCCATTGGTCTTCAAATATGGACGAAGAGACAAGAAAACCTCGGTCATTTGGCCTTTGCAAACAGGTAAACTTCAAAAGACCAAAGAGGTTCAGATTCCTACGATGTGCAATATTAATTAAAACAGACAGACCGAAAGTAAAATATAAGCACGCGAACGCGGAGGATGATTTAAGAACAAGGCCTTCCACGTTAAACTTGACACTTGGAAAAGACAAGTGCTCAACACTTCATAGGGATAGCCATTCACGGGTGAAATACTAGCACAACGTATTGCCATAAATATCCAGCTATGGCAAAGTTTGTTTCATTTATGGCATGATAAATTTATTGTACAACATCGTTGGCCAAAGGCCCCCCCGGGGGGTGGCGGATGACTTGACACGTCCATCAGGCTACGAAGCTCTCAGGCGCCCTTGTTTACACATAACTTGACAAGCATGAAAGAATTGATTTCTCATATTTGCCTCTGAAAGTAAACTATTTTTATCAGAAATATATAGCAATAGAAGCTAGCTTACACATAAAACTTAACAAGCATGAAGGAATTTATTACTCACATGTCTCTGCACGTAAACTATTTTCATCAGAAATTTCTATCAATAGAAACTACCGGTAATATGCCATGTGTCTTGAGGAAATAAAAGGAGAACTGCCAAAAGAAGTCTTTTGGATGCCGGAAGGAGGGTTTACAGGGTTCTTCTTTTCAAGCTTTGTTTCAGCACGGAGCCATGACTCAACAACAGAAAGAAGATTAGACGAGCAACTCAACTCACTAATATCCGATAACTTTTCCGCCCTCCTGAGTTCACCATCTTGTATGTATGCTAGATGAGTGGCCCATGTCTCAAGTCCATCAAAGATATGAGTTGCATATACAATTGTAGCTCCTCTCTGACAACAATAGAAAACATCAGGAAACACTCACAACAATTGATAATCAATTTTCAGAAACCCATCGCACCAGCCACAGCCAGTTCAAGATGGGCACACTAGCCAGCAATCTCATCTTCATATTTTAACAACGCATTACATTTTTCACAGTTGGTTTGCAAATGACAGTAAGATACATGCTCGGCCATCTGCAGAAACTTTAGATTAATAAAAAAACCCTAATATTACTATGATGTATTATGATTATGATCCCCCGTGAAACTAATAAAGCACATGGGGCTGTCCTCCCTTTTGCAGTTCTCCATAACCACACCAGTTTGGCATAAATACGGAGTTAGTGATCACCTGCTCACATTCTTCCCCGAAGAAGTCCAGCAAATCCATCCTAGTAACAACATCCAAGTCCACAGTAACCTCATCCAGCAAGAGAACCTGAAATGTCGTTTAAGAGTTCCTATAAGGTATCAAACTGGCAGTAATTTTAATAGATAATCTTTTAATGAAGCCATATAGAAATAACACTTCTAAGTCAAGATATGACCTGAAGTACTGGCTATGGGAAAGGCAACAGTCCATTTTTTAAACTTGGAGTAAAGAAACAAGCAGTCCCACCATACAGATGACACTGAAATTATTTAGAGCAGCATGACGACCATACAAAAATTTTCTAGAATATTAATCATTGATACCTTGTATGGATGAAGAAGACCCATGCAAATTTGCACTCGGCGTCGCTGCCCATCTGATACCTTATGCATTCGCCACTGTAGATCTATATCAAGAAGCTCAATCAACTTAGCTCTCCTTTCAGGATCTGTGCCCTCAACTGCCAAAAAAGAAAGGGACACCTATATTGTATTGGACATTTGTAACAAAAGAAGGTGGCAATGCAACTTAATCACAAATATATCTAACAGTTACTCAGACACTCTGATTTTGAATTCCCAGACATCATGAAGATCATTGATTTTAACACCATGGAGTGTCGAAAAAGACATAGCATGATCTCAAAACCATCCCACCCAATAAGAGCTACTTGAAGGATTCCGAGTTGATGCATGATCCTATCCTCTCGATTAAGTTCGGAGATGCATTTGGCAACAACGAAAATTAATTTATAACCTACCTCCAAATATCATATGTTCAGCTGAAAAGTCTCCCTGCAGTGGAATTTCTCCCTGAATATTAACAATGAAATCAAGATTAAGATAGAAATTGAACAAAGCATAGAAATACATTTCATGGGGGAAATATCAGTAAAATAAAAATCTCATAAAAAATCGCAAGAGTTCAAGACCTTCAATTATTGATAGTGTGTTTCAAAAATTTATCAGCACCAAACTCTTGTTTGTACTTAAGTCCATATCACACAAACCATGTTGGCTATGCACAGTTGTTCAGTAAAGTAACCACTGTTTGAACAAGTTAAATAACTATCTAATAACGCTGGCTGCAAGAATATTGAGACTGTACATCTGAAAGTATTCACCATCCAGTGTCCACCTTACTTTTAATAGCTTTGCACCTTATAGGCAAACTTCTACCATTTTTATCACGGTAATAACTCTTCATCAAAAAGGAAATTACATTGAGACCAGAGTCTAGAAACTCACTGCTGAACCAACGGATTTACTCCAGGATCCTCCCAAATAGGAGAGATCACCACTGCAAACCAGTCGAGTATCGTGAAAAGCGGAACAATTTAACACCCTTACAACATCTCTTCCTCCGACCATATGCTTGCCAGCCAGAATTTTCAGCAAAGTGGTCTTCCCTGCAGATAGGAGCAATTCTGAATCAAATTACGTTCTAGTTCTCTTCTCTCTCTGGCCTAATCTTAGCCAGTGCCCAGTAGAATAACAGGTGGAGTTGCACTTCTACACTGGAACAATATGTTCAACTCCAAGATACATTCGCATACGATATTAAAATTTTCCGAACTATCGGCAAAGGTTATAATGGGACACTTATTCCATGTGCATTGATCAGTAGACGGCTGTGATTTGACTCCGAAGCTCTTTGTGAATCAACAGACACTTCTCACAACTTTATGCAGACTATTGTTGGGAAAGAAATAATCAGATTAAAGAGGAAGAGTGTCTGAGGGAACTGCGTTACCGGATCCATTGGCACCAACTAGAAGGCATCGCGATCCAGTAGAGATCTTAAGGTTGAAGTCGACGAAGAGTGGTGGTTGCCCATCGTAGGCGAATTGCATACCACACACTCTAATTCCTCTGCAGCTTTCATTGTCATCTTCGTCCTTATATTCGAATCTCTGCCTCCGAGTTCCTTCGTCGTCGGCCATTATGATGAGTGACATTCAGATCGGTCCCTTACTCCCCTTTATGATAGCTTGTCCCCGTCCATGCCAATGTGGTTGAATTAGCAACACGTCTGCGCTTGAGGTCGTTGGTAATGAAGGCAGTTAACGACGAGGAAATGGAAGAAACGACGTCAGTTTGGTAAAATATGCATTAAAACGACACAGACCCTTGGTTTGCCTATAAAACGACATGAAATGTGGGGCCAGCTTACACCTTGCGCAAGAAGCAACACCGCCCATGCATTGTTTTCTTTTTCGGCCCAAGACGACTAAATGAGTTGAAGACGTCGCATGCTCGCGGGAAGCGCGAACCGGTAGAGGAGGTGGTGACAGCATCATCTCTTCGGATCAAAGCTTGTCTAACTTATATTCGATACTTGCGAATTTGAGTCTTGTAAAATAATTTATGAAATTGAACGGTCGATACCTGATCGAGCCTAGAAGCAAGCAAGGGTTTTTGTCCATGTTCTGTTTTTGGCAATTGAACTTGGTAATTCTATGAAATTGAAATTGGCCGTAGTACACTGTGGGTTTGGTCCCGAAGAAAGCAAATGCTGCTTTAGTGTGCTGAGATTATCCATGTTTATCTCTTGTAGGTGGCTTTGGTTGGTGTGTAATAATATTATGGAGGAAGATGAGGACAGGGTTTTGCTTAATATTTTGGGCGTAGAGTCTGCCAATCATGAATGCATCGAAAGAGACGTATTAGCTGAGGTATCAGGTCCTGGTTCTGAGCCATTAGCTTTTTGGTTCCTTTCAAGTTTCGATTTTACCAACTGCCTCCGCTAGGGTCATTTGTATTGCCGCCATTATATTGGTGAACTTTTAAGGACAGCCTACGAAAATAGTCTGAAATTTTGTTTTGGCCGGGAAATAGATTTGATTCGAATCGAAGTAGCTTGGTAGTTTTCCCTTTTCATTGTGGTTTCTGTAAAAACTGCTGCGTGCTATTCGATTTTAAAAGGAAACACCCCACTGGATTCTCTTTTGCCGTCCAATTGCATCTTGAAGAAACAGATGTAGCTAGTTATTACTAGTTGCAATCTATGGGTAGGTTGATTTTTTAATTTAACCTCAAATTTCATTGCGCCTTTTAGTTATGCGAGGGAAAATGTATCAGCTTAAAACTAGGATAGAGTTCTAATTCAATTTTATATGGTCCTATGACAACATTTGTGAAAAGCGAAGAAAGAAGTAGTAAAAATAGAATATTGTGATGCAGATTCAAAGTAAAGAGCTTGAGCTTGTATTCAGGTTTGTTGTCCTTAGAATGTAAGATGAAAACCTCTCGATGAATAGCCAGCCAATTCTTAGGTCTTTGCTATTTAGGCATCTTAAAGAAAAGAAATATATATATGTATATATATAGTTGGATGGTTTCAAAGGATATCCTTTTGATTTAACTAATAAGTTAGGAAGTATCTCCATGGACTTTTTTCTGCTATCAAGCGTGATTTGTAATTTACTACTAAATGATAGATAAGGAATAAGGATTAATAAGCCTCCAGAAAAATTTCACTAGCATTGCTAACTCCCAGTTCTTTCTCTGTTAATATGTTTGAAAACTCTCATGAGAAACTTGATGTTGAAATTTAATTGCAACTGAATATGGCATATGTAGGATCTCATTTGTCTTGCTTGGGAAATTATATGTAAACCAAATCTTAAAAATTTGATCATGGAGATTGTTAACTTGTAGGCACGGAATGACGTGGTGACCATTATTGAAGCTGATAGGAGCTCAAAGGAAGAATCTCCTCAGAAATATGAAAACGTTGGTCCATCATCTATTAGCAAAGCAGAACTTTATCATAAGTTGAGGGCAGTAGATTTTGAAATAAATGCAGTTGCTTCCACTATCCAAGAAGTGAGAAATGTTGAAAGTGATGGAGATTGTATTGATGGAGGTCCTGACAACAGGGAGCAAGGGACTACCAAGGATAATTCTTCTAATGATTTGAATCTTCAACATGTTCTTGCTACTGATAGGTTAGAAAGCCTAAAGAAGACAAAGGCTCAACTAGAAAAGGATCTTTCAGATTTGTTCAAGAAGAAGCCTTGCAAGAGTATTGATCAGGACAAAGAGAACGAGATCTTTAATTTGGTTGAGGAAGAGCGAAGATCAAAGAGGAAGCCTAAAGAAGTTAAAAGTTTACCAAAAGGCTCAGGGAAACGGCATAAAACAGTTTCATTTAATGATGATGTTGATTTTGATGCAGTTTTAGATGCTGCCTCGGCAGGCTTTGTTGAGACTGTGAGTTACTTACATTCTTGTGTTCTAGCTTGTTGCTCAATCTGTGATAAGACAGGAAAAGACATTTTCCTTGATGTTATAAGTTGGTAAGAATGAATCAAATGTGAAGGATGCTATTGGTAAATAGAGAAGAGGAGGAGCTAATTTTTTTGCTTCATTTTTTCAGGAAAGGGACCAATTGGTAAGGAAAGGGATTTTGACCCCATTTTCTAACCTGAAGGGCTTTGAGCGCCGCTTTCAACAATCAGAAACATCTAGTAGTTATGATGCAAGTCAGGAAGAAAAGACTGATGATCTTGCTTCTTCTAGTCTTGAAAGAGCTGCCCAATCAATATCTGAGGCAGCAAGAGCTCGCCCAACCACCAAGTTGCTTGAGTCTGAAGATCTCCCGAAGCTTGACCCACCGACCCATCCTTTTGTTAGACTCAAAGTACCACTAAAAGTTTCTCAGTCCCAAGAAAGAGATCTAGAGAAGAAAAATAATTTGAAAAGGCAAAAAAGGCGATCTTTACCTGGTAGGAAATGGACAAAGCGTGTTTCTAGTGAGGAAATACATTCAAGAGAGACTGGTATGTTTTATGTTTTTTCATATGGTGTTTAATTTCCTTATTATTATGACTTGAGAGAAGGGAAAATTGGAATAAGGTAGTAGGCATCCAATGGTATAACAACTCCAAATTTCCTGGCATGTCAAAAGTTGCAGACAATCTTTATCTGAATTCTCAAGAGCTGAACCAATCTGCAATCTTTGCTTACTGCTTCATTTAAAATTGATTTGACTTGTTCACTAGGACTATTCGGATCTTGTTTTATTTCTCATTGTTAAGTTTTGAAAGTTTTGCTTCCCAATTAATTTTTTGTTGTTGGTATTTGACTTAGAGCAGGTAATTCAGGCCAGCCCGAAAAGTTAGGGTCAAGCTTGACTATATGGGCTTTTTGAAAAAGGCAGGATATTAAGCTCGATTCAAATAAGCTTGACCTGAATAAGCTCAATAGCTGAAATCTCTAGCTTTATATGTTTATAGAGTTGGTAATTTCTGCTAAGCCTGACGGGCCAACTTGAACCTGACTGAAAAAAGTTAGAGTTGGATTTAGCTATATGGGCTTTTTAAAGAGAGCATGATAATTTAAGCTCGATCTAAATAAGTCCAACCCGGATTGACTATTGGAAGTGGTGATGTGTAGTGCTGCATTTTGTGCTTCTTGAGGTTGAGCCACACATTTGTTTGGAGTTGGGTTAGTAAGGTGATGTTGGGCCTTCTTCTAGTAAAAATAAAAATTGGCCCCAAAAGAAATGATGTTTTCATTCAAGTCTTAGTAATTGCATATTTCCTCTATTAAGAAAGAAAAATATTTCGTAAATAAGTTCTTGTAAAATTGCATACTGCTCTTATCCTAAAAAAAAAAAACAAACAACAACAACAACAACAATAAGCCTTTATCCTACTAGGTGGGGTCGGCTACATGATTGCAAGACGCCATTGTGCTCTATCATTTATCAAGCTTTTAGGAATATTATTAATTAAGAGATCGCGTTCAATAACTTCCAAGAGTGTTCTCTTAGGCCTTCCTCTACCTCTCTTAATCGGACTCAAAGTTGTATGTCCCACTCTTCTCACTGGTGCCTCCCTTGGTTTCTTTGTACATGCCTAAACCATCTCAACCGATTTTCTATAATTTTTTCCTTAATAGGTGCCACCCTTACTTTTTTGCGTACGTGCTCATTTCGAATTTTATCTTTATGTGTATATCCGCACATCCATCGTAACATTCTCATCTTTGCTACTCCAACTTTATGCTCTTGCTGTCCCGTTAGAGACCAGCATTCACTACTATATAACATTGCCGGTCTGATAGCAGTGCAATAAAACTTTCCTTTAAGTTTATTAGGCAGCTTACGGTCGCAAATAACTCCTTTAGCTTTTCTCCAATTAAACTACCCAACTTGAATTCTATGTGAAATATCTCCACTGATTTCGCCATCATTTTGAATAATGGCTCCCAAATATCTAAACTTTTCTACTTGAGGTATAATTTGGTCTTCCAATTTCACTTCCAAATTATTGTCGAATAGTCCTTTACCAAATTTACAATATAAATATTCCGTCTTACTTCTACTCAGACGAAAACCTTTCGACTCCAATGTCCTCCTCCATAACTCAAGTTTGCAATTAATCTCTTCTCTTGTCTCTGCTATAAGAACTATAGCAGAGACAAAGAAAGAAAGAAAAGGTTTCACAGAAGTCCTCTATGCACACGTGCGCACACATATTGTTTGGCCAAGCTGACCAAAATGCTTACCACAAAGCTTGGCCTGCTCGAAATATTTTTTGGCCTAGTTCAATCTTACCTAGTATAGCTAGGCCAGGCTGGGTTGGCCAAGCTACCAAGCTTCATGTTTGGCTCTATTTTGATATTTGTTTATGCACTTTGAAGTGTTACAATTTTTTTTTTTTAATTTTCTAAGAGGTATCTTGTATACAAATATGTCATTGGCCTGTACTTTAAAGTGTGACCCGGATCTATATTGCTTGTTGAGAGACCATAAATAATTGGTAGTTTATTCGCTGATGATTGTAAGCTGTTTACTGGTTCTCTGTGGATGGGGAGGAAGGTTGGCAACTGGTTTATGAACCATTAACTTCTTTGTTTGTGCCATTATATGTAGTTTTTATTTTTGTCCATACTTTAGTTGGTGCATGCTTTCCAGAGGAAGCAAGTGGTTGCATGGATCCTTCCAGTTGCGAAAACTTGGATGCTCAGGATTTTGAACGTGCTGTTCATGAACCTTCTTTTATAACATTAGAAGGCGGGCTAAAAATCCCTGAGAATATTTTTGATGCACTGTTTGACTATCAAAAGGTTGGTGTTCAGTGGCTGTGGGAATTGCATTGCCAAAGAGCTGGTGGAATTATTGGTGATGAGATGGGTCTTGGTAAAACCATCCAGGTTTTATCTTTCCTCGGTGCATTGCATTTTAGTGGCATGTACAAACCAAGCATTATCATTTGTCCTGTGACCCTCTTGCGACAGTGGAAAAGGGAAGTTCAAAAATGGTACCCAAAATTTCATGCAGAGCTTTTACATGATTCTGCACGAGACCCTGTTGCTGGAAAGAAGCAATCCAAATGTGATGAATCAGACTATGATAGTAATAGCTCAAGTGACAGTGACTATGAGACCAGTATTCAATCAAAAAACACAAGGAAATGGGAATCCCTGATAAGTCGTGTAATGAGATCAGAATCTGGATTGCTTATCACAACATATGAGCAGCTGAGAATCTTGAGGGACCTGTTACTTGACATTGAATGGGGATATGCAATTCTTGATGAAGGACACAGAATAAGGAATCCAAATGCTGAAGTTACCCTAGTTTGCAAACAGCTACAGACTGTACACCGCATCATAATGACTGGCTCACCTATACAGAACAAACTGACTGAACTGTGGTCATTGTTTGATTTTGTTTTCCCTGGAAAGTTGGGTGTTTTGCCTGTATTTGAAGCTGAGTTTGCTGTTCCTATAGCGGTTGGTGGATATGCAAATGCTTCACCATTACAAGTATCAACAGCATACAGGTGGTTCTGAACTTTCTTTTTATTAATCTTCTTGTCACATATAGAATTGGCCTCTGTTAAATTATCTGGTTATATATTGTATTAACAATAAGGAACAGGATATTCATCCATTCTAGTTACGGTGTGAAAGTAGAGAAATGAAATAAAGAAGGATTTTCAGTTAGATTGTTGGTATATTTTGATTAGGGAGGTAACTGTTGTAAGTTTTCTAGCTCATTAGCCTGCAACACCAAATAATTAGGTTAATTTTTCACATTTGCAGGTGTGCTGTGGTGCTTCGTGATTTGATCACACCTTATCTTCTTCGACGGATGAAAGAAGATGTGGATGCCCAGCTTCCAAAGAAAACTGAGCATGTTTTATTTTGTAGCCTTACTACTGAGCAAGTATCTGCTTATAGAGCATTTTTGGCAAGCTCTGAAGTGGAGCAAATCTTGGATGGACGGAAGAATTCTCTTTATGGAATTGATGTTATGCGCAAGATTTGCAACCACCCTGACTTGCTTGAAAGGGAACATGCATACAGCAATCCAGACTATGGAAATCCAGAACGCAGTGGAAAAATGAAAGTTGTGGCACAGGTGCTTAATGTTTGGAAGGAACAAGGTCATCGGGTTCTTCTTTTTACTCAAACCCAACAAATGCTTGACATTCTTGAGAATTTTTTGACCACTTCTGGTCATAATTACCGGAGAATGGATGGAGTCACTCCCATAAAACAAAGGATGGCTTTAATTGATGAATTTAATGAGTCAAGGGAAGTATTTATATTCATTTTAACAACTAAGGTTGGGGGTTTGGGGACGAATCTTACTGGTGCAGACAGGGTGATTATTTTTGACCCTGATTGGAATCCTTCAACTGACGTTCAGGTAATTTTGTTTTTGATGCATCCTGCTGGGGCTTTAAATATTTTAAACACAACTGTGAAACTTCCATTTGCAGCATTGTGGTGTTCATTTAATTATACAACAATAACAAGCCTTATCCCACTATTCATTTGGTTATACAATATCCTGTAAAAACCTCTGGAGTTTGATGCATCTTGTATCATTCAGAATAGTTCCCCAAATTAATGATGTTAGAATTAAAATGTATATATTCTCTAGAGTACTGTGTATCATTGTTTTTAAAGAAATTTCTAATTCATTCTGGCAGAGAGCTATGCTTTGCTTCAATTTTAAAGCTTATATTTTTTTTATTTATGATAATTATTGCTTTTATTAGGCCAGAGAACGAGCTTGGCGAATTGGTCAGACACGGGATGTGACAGTATATAGGTTGATCACACGTGGAACTATAGAGGAGAAAGTGTATCACCGCCAGATTTACAAACATTTTCTTACCAATAAGATATTGAAGAATCCACAGCAGAAAAGATTCTTTAAAGCTCGGGATATGAAAGATCTTTTTACACTGAATGTGGATGATAAAAGTGGGTCAACTGAAACGTCAACTATTTTCAGTCAAATGTCTGAAGATGTAAATATTGTTGGGGCATATGAAGATAAGCAGGATAATCGTAAACATCCCCAAACTGCTGAACCAGGTTCTGATGATGTTGTAGTTAATAGCGATGTCAGGTCAAAAACAAGATCGGTCAAGGGAAAGGGAAAAGAGAAAACAGATCATCTTGATGAAGCAGATGAGGAAACAAATATATTGAAAAGTCTTTTTGATGCCTATGGGTTACATGTAAGCTTCTTCGTTATGCTGCATTTTATATCCTATTTGTCTGGTGCCTTTGATTTTATTTATTTCATTATTGGAAATTTGCATGCTGTTGGGTGAGTTGAGAATGGATTGAGTAATGGAACAAGTGAGCATATGTTGCATGATATTAAATTCAATCTCTCTAACCATTCTCATTTAGAGTTCATATATTCATTTGGACTCTGATCCATTTTAAAAGAATAGTTATTATGCGACATCATTTTACATGCACCTTAGAAATTTGATTTTACCTTGTATGTCTTTTTTGCAAATGGTATTTGGCCTCTCTGATCTAATTTGTTTTGTTACCGTAGAGTGCTGTGAACCATGATTTGATCATGAATGCCAATGATGAGGAGAAGATGAGACTTGAGGAGCAAGCTTCCCTGGTTGCACAGAGAGCTGCAGAAGCTTTACGTCAGTCACGAAAGCTCCGAAGTCGTGACAGCATTGCTGTTCCTACGTGGACTGGAAGGTCAGGAGCTGCTGGTGCACCATCATCTTTTCATCGGAAGTTTGGTTCGACCGTGAATTCCCAGTTGGTAAATAATTGCAAGGTATCTGATGAATTGCCTGGTGATGGAATTAGAAAACTAAATGGATCTGCTGCTGGGGTATCATCTGGCAAGGCCTTATCTTCTGCTGAACTTTTGGCTCAAATCCGGGGTAACCAAGAAAAAGCCATTGGTGCTGGGCTAGAACGCCAGTTTGGTATGGCCATCAACCCATCTAATCAAGCAAGATCTGTGGATGTTGGATCCTCTAGGGCATCTAAAAAGGTAGATGGAGTGCAACCTGAGGTATTGATTCGGCAAATCTGTACATTTCTACAACAGAGAGGTGGTCGTTCTGATTCATCCAGCATAGTTCAGCATTTTAAGAACAGGATACCCTCGACAGATCTTGCCCTGTTCAAGAATCTGTTAAAGGAAATAGCAACTCTGGAAAAAGGACCGAATGGATCACATTGGATTCTGAAGCCAGACTATCAAGAATAATGAGCAAGTCACACCCGACTGGTAAATTGTGTTGATGGGATAGCCTGTCCTCTGTCTCTGAAGCCTGTTTCTTCGAGTTGTCAAGGGCGATATTTTTTGACTAGTTTGAGTTATGGGGATTGGGGATTGTAGATTTTTTTTTCCATGCTATTTCACAACTGATATGTGGTTAGACATGAGGTTAATCTGCTCTTATCTAAATTTAGGTTGGGCAGATTGAACTTAGATGAAGCCATCAGTGAAACTAACGAGAGTTGTAGAGTCTTCTTTTCAAATATGATCGCTATGTTGTGGCTAGAAAAAATGTTCACTACATTTTTGCAGGATACTGCTGGAAAGAAAGTACCCCTTAGATGTATATATTTTATCCAAGGTAGTCCTATATTGCATTTGTAGGCTGTAGTGTAGCACGAGTTTGTGAATCCTGAAGGGACAAAAATGGGGAGGTAAGACTGTTTTTGCTGTTTTTTTTTTTTTTTAAATCAAAAACTGAATAACTGAAGCGGTGGCAAAGTTCTTGCTGTTCTGTAGAGGGTGATTTTGTAATGGTGCCAAGTGCTAACGATCTTTTACCGATATCGAAGAGTGATGGCGATGCTCTTTATCTAGTTGAAGAACTTACCCCAGCATGAGGATGTCACCGAGGAGCAGAAGCAGGTCCTGACCAGATGAATTACCCCCTTTTTTGGTTGCAGTTTTATGTCTCTTTATTTCAACTAACATTTTACTCGACAGGAAGTAAAACAATTTGAGATTAACTAGCCTAATGAAAAGGCTTTTTTTTTGGGGGGGGGGGGCACAGAGAAGAAAATTTGTGGTTGATTTTAGAGTTGGCTTGCATCATCCGTGATTAAAAGCAAGTTGCAAGTTAGTTTTTTTTTTCCCCCTGAAAGGAGAGGTTATTAATGATTGGTTGATCAGAGATCAGCAGCACTGCAGGGCACACACTCTTATTGAAACAGAATCTGGAATACATGCCAGTAAAGTAAGAGTCAGCTTTGGGGAAAATAGTCATTCTTTTACATAGATACTGGATTTACTAGTACAACCCAACGAAATTAAAGAAGTCATCAACATTTTGCAGGAGGATATTCCTGAATATATCGAGCTAATTGTATCATGTGCAGACTCGTTTACTTCCGGCACCACCTGCTTCAGCCTCTTTTGTCAAGAAATAATCAAAAAACGTATATATTCAGCGATTTTATAAGCCTCGTATGGTAGAGTTGTTCTTAGTTCATAAAATCAGAAGGCTGCCCACCCTGATGCGGTGGTCGATCCTGACGCAGCTGTTGACGGAAGGTTCCTCTGTACGTGTCAATTAACCAAAAAAAAAAATCATGAGGAAATTAATGGATTTACCCAAAAGGAAAACGTATCACGGCTCAGATTTACTCAAACATGTTATGAACTGTGGAATCCCCAAAAAATGCAGCAATCGTTGTTCACGGCGGGGAAAAAAAACTTTATGGATTTCTATCACATCGCACCACAATCAACACGAAACTTCAAACTCCCCCCCCCCCCAAAAAAAAAAACAAGTGACTAGGCAATGGATATAATATATATTATATCAAGGTACCTGTTCATTCTCCAATCAGTATGTTTCAGTCACATTGGAATCTATATTGATAATTAGGATATAAAACTATAGTTTAGTAAAATAAGGTGTCAAAATTTCTTGCATTTTTTTCAAGTAATCAACCGCCAGTGTCACTGTTCTTATTGTAAGTCTTTGCAGTAAGACGCCCTTATATTAGTAGAGAGTAAAAATAACAAAACAGTCAAGCCAAACAACAGCAATAACGATTATAATCCTACGTGGGGTCCGTTATATGGAAAATAGCCAAGGTAAAGTTATGTTAAATTAATTTAGCTACAGGAACTAGAAGCATGGATCCAGCAATCTTCTAAATTAAACTCATTTTCAATGATTCAAGTGAAATGACGTTGCTATCTGTGTCAAATAAACTAAAGATTAGGCTTTAATTTGCCATACACATACCAACATATCCACAAAAATTCCACGAAGAAGGAAACAACAAAAGGATGAGAAAAGCATCGTACCTTTAGTTGAGAAAGATCTGAGATAGAATCAGTAGAATTTTTCACACTTTCATTCGATCCTTTAATATCAGTACTGTGACTGGTAGATATCTTCCGGGCAGCAACAGGATCATTTGGAGGGGGAGGAAGGGGAGACCTGATTTTTCCTGCCCCAGATGGAGGGGGAGCAAGGCTCAATGCTTTGGGCTTCGCAGTTCCAGAATGCCCACCTATTAAACCAGCTGCCGAAAGCATGCCAGTTCCAGTAGATGGTTTAGGTTTCACATTAATCCGGATGGTTTCGCCTTCCTACAGGTATCAATGTGAGAGAGAGGGAAAAAAAAAAAAAAAAGAGGAAACGGATAAGTCGTAGGACTTAATCCCATTTGGAGAGACCAAATGGCATCGATTCTCAGAACACACCAGAGTAAAAAAGAATACAGTTTCCCATTTTTCAAGCATGTTTAGATGGGACTGGGAGGGGGAGCGTTGAAAGGAGATTCGTTCTCATGATCATCTGAATATATACAAGTCTCAATAGCCATGGCCCATACAATGCGTACACATATTCGTCTGAGCAACAAATAACAGAGCAGCTAAGAAATCACACGATCCAAGTGGAATGGATGGCTAAATTGATATCAACTAACCACTTATTAGTATCCAAAAAACTGACAAACATAACTGTATCACGCTTTAATTACTAAAATTCGGTAGGATAATCAAAGCACGTCCTTTTTTTCTTCGATAAGGAACATCCTATTTTTTATGATTATAAAATGCGCAAAAAACAAAGTAACAGTGAGACGTTCTTGTAGTATACATATACCTTCAATCTGTGATTGACGGCCGGATGAATATCAATATGAGATTCCTCAGACGCCTCGCCGGATTCTTTCTCATACTCTCTTCTCACATACTTGTCGTGATCCGACAATGCCACATTGAAGTCGAAAGCTTCATTTCGTTCCGCAAACCCTAAACCAATGAACGCGTGCTTACCCTGGCCGTCCTCGATCTTCAGGACGAAGTACCTGGACGAATCGAGGGTGGACTCGACCGAGTTCTCGCGCTGGCCAGGGTAGACGAAGCAAGCGGCGAATAGCTCCCCGGTGTTTGGATCCTCCAGTCGGATCTCGCACCGATCCTTGCACGATACGACCCTGAGCCGACCGGACCATATTTTATCGGATTGGAGCCATTCGCCGCACTTGTACCCACCGGATGTAGTTCGGGCCGGAATCTTGTACACAGAGACCTCGCGGACTACGAGGAGGGTGTGCTCGAATGCCTCCTCCTCGTCAAAAGACATGGTCGAGGAAGCGAAAGATTTCGAATTGAGGGAACAATGTGAAACGAACTTGGACAAGGTTTGAGTGGATTGATCAAATCTAATGATGAAGCAGGGAACCCTGGGGGAAGACGATAGGATTGTTTGTGATGAATGAAATGGAGTGAATTTCTGGCAATTTTGATGTCAAATAGAGCCGTGGCTTGCCGAGAGCTGTGTGAAGGTGAGACACAGGCATCAATTGGTAGATCACAGAGGCGTGGGCTTAAAGGCAGATTCAAAGGTTAGCCACAAAGCTAAATGAGCATTCAGCCAATCGCAAGGTCTTAACTCTTGGTTCAGCTTGTTACAGTTTTTGTTAGGGCTGCACGAAAAACTTAGCGTCGGTCTGATCTGATTTTAATATAATCTGAAATCGAACAAGACCGTACTGATCGAGTAGAATTAAAAAATTGATGTCGATCTTATTCAGCATTTCATTTTTTTTTCCATGAAAGATAATAATTTATTTTAATACAATAGATTAAAATTATTTATAATTATAAAAAATTTATTATGACAATAATTATAAATTTATAATAATTTTTAATAATAACAAAAAGTATTTTAATTACAATATAAATAATTTAAATTAAACAACTTTTAACAACATTAAACAACTTTTAATGTATTTAAAGTCTACTACACTAAGTTAACAATAAATTTTAACAAAAAGAGAGAATACTAAGGTTGGTTAATATTGTAATTTTGCTCAATCTTCATCATTTTATAAGTATAAAACACAAAATTATTAATTATTATTATAAATTAACTTGTTGTAGTAATTATTAATAAATTAATTATAATTATATTAAATACATTTATAGAATTAGGCCGGACTAAGTGGTTCAGATGTTCGGTTTCTTATTTAATCCAATTCAAAGAATGAGTTTGATTTTTTTAGTCTTAAAAGATCAATTTTTAATCTAAATCAAACATGATCAAGTTTGTTTTGGGTTGGACTGGATTAGATCGAACTGGAAGACTCTGTACAGCCTTAATTTTTGTTATTTGAGAACTTGTGCCAAGTGCCAACTCATTTTTTTTTCAAAAATATTAATTTCCTCATCCTTTTAATAATAATTATTTATAAAAATGTATATTATGTTATGAATATTATAAGGATAATGGATGTCTATCTTCATCACCTATTCATTTCTCCCATGAAACTTCCACCATCATGAGAGTTGATTACCCTTTATTTGCTTTTATCATTTGTGTAACCTTTGATATGTAAGACCATGTCGATAAATAGAGCATATAATTTGTCTTGAAGAATATAATAATCCATAAGAAATTCTCCCATTCTCTTGTCTCTATTTCTTCTCTCAATATCTTTATTTTCTAGTTTTTAATTTTATAACACATTATCAGCACGAGAGCTCTAGTAATCTACAGGTTTTGTAGCAAGGTTTTTCATTGCAAGGTAATTTTTATGTTCATATATGATTTGATCTATTTTCTAACCATTTGATCTTTTTAATCTTGTTTAATCTTGAATATCATCTAATTCTTATTACATTTTTATTATAATATTTATATGTTGAATTTTTTAAAACTTGAGTTTGTAGCTCTTGACGTTACTAGGAAAAATTATCTATCTGATACTAGATGCGAAAATCCATTTAGATGCCAATGGTCTTGGAGACACAATCAAGGATGGTAATCAAGCATCCAATCAAAATAAGGCCAGGGTCATGATCTTTCTTCGTCATCATTTATATGAAAGGTTAAAAATTGAGTATTTAATTATAAAAGACCCTTGTGTTCTTTGGAACAGTTTAAAAGAAAGGTATGACCATCAAAAAATTGTTATTCTTCTAAAAGCTCGTTATGATTGGATGCATTTACGTTTGCAAGATTTTAAATCTATGAGTGAATATAACTCTGCAATTTTTAGAATCAATTCTCAACTAAAATTATGTGGAGAAAAAGTCACTAATGATGATATATTAGAAAAAATATTTTTCACATTTCATGCATCCAACTTGCTCCTATAG